GAACGCAAAACAGTCGGCGTCAGTGACGAGCGCGCGGCGGCGGCGCAAGCTGCGATGCGTACATATGGCGTTGCGGGGCCGGAAGATTTCCCGGTAGTCTTGCGCGTTGTGGATTTCGGCCGAGGAAACCTTCTCGTCCGCCTCGTCTTCGCTGGGGCTGCGCCGCTCGCCTTCGGGACTCCGCCTCTTCGGGCGCCGCCGAAGCGCTTCCCGGGGCGGCCGCGGCGACGTCGTCGTCGTCGCCGGTCTCAAAGGCGGAGCTCCTCTTGACGCGCTTCAGGTCCACCACGTAGGTGGACACGCCGCTCAGCTGGTGAGACGCGCCGATCTGGCGAGAAACGAAAAAAAGAAGACGTCGTCGCCGCGGAAGACCTCGACCCAGGGAGAAACGCGCAACTGCGGACGTGGCGTCCTCCGGGCCGGAGGGGGAAGGAAGCCAGCTTCGTGGCCACTTTTGCAGCGGCGAAAGCGCGTCGGCGCGGGTTTCGGAGAAAGGGACGCCGCCGCCGTCCGAGCGCCGCCTTTTTTCAAAGCGGAGGCCAAAGCCCGTTGGGCACGCGCGGCGGCGGCGAGGCTCGCTCGCGAACGGAGCGCGGCCGGTGCCGACCCGGCGCCCGTTGAGGAAGCGTCAAAGGCGACGACCGAGACCGCGCATCAAGCAAATGTGGCAAAGAAGAAGTCCGTGGGCGGAGCTCCCGGCGTCCTGGCGCGTTTCGTGAATGCCGCGGTTCAAGAAAAGGAACGAACGAACGCCTTGCGGCGATGAGTGGCTGAAAAACACCAACCGGGTCGATGGTTTCGCCCCCGACTTTGGCGTCCGTCGCGTACCCGACGCAACGGAGGCCGAGCGCCGCTCGCAAATCATTTCCATTCCGTCCCGACATCGTCATCGAGACGCGTCGACAAGGCGTCCCGTGAGAAGTCGCGCTTTGGCGGCGTGTGGAAATTCTCGAGCGCCGGGGCGGAAACGGTCACTTTGCTCCAGTTTGGACTCGTTCTTACCCCGTCAACGTGCCGAGATTCACATTTGGGGGCGAGCGCAACAAAAGCAACTCTGGAAACGCGACGGCAAACGCCACCGTCGACTCGTTCGTTCGTTCCGCCTGGCGCAGTCCGCTCGGGACCGATCCGCGCACTCGAGCCGAAAGGCGGGGGCGGCGTCGGAGAATCGGGAGCGATACGCACCAGCTGCTGGTTGCAGAGCGCCAGGTCGGCGACCCGCCCCCAGCCCACCGTCACCGTGTCCAGCCAGCGCTCGGGTTCCCACGCGCACACGCCCAGGACGTCGGCGCGCCCGCTGAACAGGCAGCCGCCGTCGGCGCTGAACGTCAGGCACCTGCAAACGCACACGGGAGGGGGGGGACAGGTGGGTCGATGACGCTGAGCACAATCGCATCATCGAGCGTTTGCGCTTCAGCTGCCGTCCTTCCGAATGGGAGCCCCCCCGTGACTTGGCCTACGACCTTCCCTCGCCGAGAACGGACCGGAGGGACGGACGGGGGCCAATCAAAACCGACTGACGGACTCTGTGAGCGTGACGCAACATCAGCGGAACGACACATTCCCGACGCCATCTTTTCCCGCGTCCTCCGCGATCCGAGGACGGAACAAATCCGTTTGCGTTCCCCGACATCGATCGTTCACGTGCCACTCGAGTACAATCGGAGCGTTTCGAACGGTATCGTTTGTGTCGGGGCACGCCGGACCAACTCCGATCGACGTCGTTTTCCGCTCTTTGCGTCAGGCTTTGGGGCGGAGGCGACGAAACGCGGCCGGGACGAGAAATCCCGCCGCGCGTCGTCAATATTGCGAACGACCGCCACAAATCAAGCCCGTTCGCCAGCAAATAAACACGGAAAGGCGCGGTAGAGCCGGGCCGAACCGGAATCGGACCCGCCGCGAGGAGCCCATCGCTACGCCGTCGGGAGGCGAGGCCAACATTTCCGCGGATGGACAAAATAGCGGCGTGCTCCAATGGAGGTCGGCCGCGGGCGTCCCCGAGCAGGGGCCCGAGCGCCTTTTCTCAGGAAGCCGCTCGCTCGGAAACGGTTGCGCGCGGCGAGCTCCGGCGCCGTCGTCGCCACTCACCTGATGGCGCCCGTGTCCTGCAGCGCCCCCACCTGGCAGAACTTCTCCAGATCCCACAGCCTCAGCCACCTGCGTGCGCCACACACACACGCACGCGCACAGCAGGGTCAAATCTCGCCGGCCGACATGACCGGCCGTCGGTTGGCGCGCGAAAGGCGGGGCGTCGGCACCTGTCTGCGCCGCCGGAGGCCAGCAGGTACTCGTTGGGGTGAAATTGAACGGCGCCGACGGCGGCCGTGTGGGCCGTGAACTCCGCCAGGGTCTTGGCCTGCTTCAGGTCCCACAGCTGCGGCACAACACGTCAAACGGCGGCCACTCAGAGCGCCGGACGCTTCCCAACCTTCAAAAAGGCCCGACGCGGCGGCGGACGCCGAGTACGAGAGCGCGGCCGACGCGCTCGTCGCCGCGTACGCGCGACACCTTTGCGAGCGACGGCTTTGGCCGCAGGGAGGCGGTCGCGCGCTCATACGGCCAAAGCCGACGCAACTCAAGCCGAGGCTTCTTCTCCAACGACTCGCGGCTACGCTTCTTCGGTCGCTCTCCCGTTTGTGCCTCTGAAAAGCGCCGACCGCCGATGCTAACGGTCACTTCGTCAATGGCAACGTGCATTGGCGCCAGCGTGCCGATGAGCATTTTTCTTTTGCCCTTTTGTGAGCCGTCCCGGGTCCGGCAGATGAAAACCAAGGTCGGCGTGCCCCCCCCATTTACCTTGACCGTGGAGTCGTCGCCGGCCGACGCCAGCCACTTGCCGTCCGGGCTGAAGGCCAAACTGCGGACGGCCGCCGCGTGACCCTGCAAGAGGGCGCCTGCGACGTCAGCTCCGAGCCCCCAAGCCCCCGACGAGATGCTTCAAAGACGCCATCTCACCTTGTACCTGTAGATGGGGCCTTTCCTCCGCACATCCCACATCTGACGCCATCCGTGGTCACGGCACATGGAACAGTCACAAGACATGAGCTTACAGGCAAAGGGCCGCGCGCAAACACGCGCAAACACGCACGCACGCACCTTGATGTTGGTGTCGGTGGAGCCGGACACCAAAAAGTCTCCAAAGGGATGGAAAGCGAAACTGGTGATGCTGGATTTGTGTCCCGGAAGGGTTCGCAACACTGGGCGGCCACACACGCGCACACACAAAGTTGGTCGTGAGCGATGAAGACCAACAAAGCCCCCCCCCCCCCCCCCCCCCTTCGTGGTGGCGTTCCGCAAACAGACAGGAAGTGGCGAGCGAGCGAACCCTGCGGGTGATTCCGTGTGCCTATTTAGAAGCGTGAACACGAGACCAACGGAAAACGCGCAGCTCAGGCGCAAGTCCGATTTTTGCCGGCTCGCGGCGGCCATCTTGGCGGCGTGGCACCCGCGACCTTGAACGCGCGCGGCTCCAAAAGCGCGCGACGCGGGA